CCCCTAGCGGAGGTAGATGGCGCTAGTCATTTTGAAGTTGTGATTCTTTCCTTGACTTTAATCATGTTATTTGGATGCTGGAACGTCAGAGGGTTAAACGACCCCGTCAAACAATCTGAAGTAAAGAACCTTAAATCTTCCAATAGGATTTCTTTATGTGGGTTAGTGGAAACTAAAGTTAAGGAGAAGAATCAAAATAAGGTGGCAAATGCCATCTTCAACTCTTGGAGTGTCCTTTTGAATTATAATTGTTCTCCGATTGGCAGAATTTGGGTTTGTTGGAATCCAATTGATATAGATGTCTTGTTGGTAGGCTGCTCTGCTCAAGCTATCCATGTTCGTGTTAATGCATGTAATGGTAAATGGGTTGTGTGGTGTCAGTGGTATATGGGGATAATATCCCAGTTATGCGTGTTGATCTATGGGATGATTTTGTAGCTAGGCATGGAGGTTTTGCACACTTGCCATGGGTAGTCATGGGAGACTTCAATTCGGTTCTCTCTCCTTCAGAAGTGGCAGGTGGTTCTTCTTCTTGGCCTGCATGGCAAGATGATCTTGGGAATTGCATAACGATAGTGGGGTTGGCCAATTTGAAGTTTGATGACTGTTTATATACATGGTCTAATAAGCATGTATCTGATCTTACTCTCAAGAAACTAGATCGTGTGTTGGTGAATTCGAAGGGGGAGGAGGAATTTTCGGGATCGTCAGCTACATTTCTTACTGCTGGTGTGTCGGATCATTCACCTATGGTTGTGAGGATTGCAGAGTTACTCGTAGGAAGATTCCATTCCGCTTCTTTGGTTATTGGATGGATCATTCGGATTTCTTTCCATTGGTGGCTCAGGTTTGGGGTGAAAGAGTAGCGAGAACCCCTATGTTTTGTTTTTGTTCGAAGTTGAACAAGCTAAAGCTTGCTTTGAAAGATTTTAATAAGGAACATTTTTTAGAACTTCCTACGAGAGTTACTCAAGCTCGGACTGATATAGAGCATGTTCAGTATTTGATTCAGCAATCGCCTTTGGATTCGTCTCTACATAGGGAGGAGTCTCGTTTACAAAAGGAACTTTGTGAGTTGAGCAGGGCTGAAGAAGGCATTTTGAGACAAAAAGCTCGTGTTAAGTGGCTAAATTTAGGCAACCAGAACACTGTTTTCTTCTTCAAGGCTATGAAAAGTCACTATAGCAAGAGTAAAGTGGTTTCCATTTGTAAAGATGATGGTACTAGAGTGGAGGAGCCGCATGAGGTTAGTGAAGTCATTGTTGCGTTCTATCAAAATCTCCTTGGTCAGCAGCCTAGTGGTGAGAGTCTAGATACGGACTTGCTTCGAAAAGCTCTTCCTAAGAGTATCTCAGTAGTGCATAATGAAAATCTTAATAGAGATGTGACATTTAAGGAAATTAAAGAGGTATTGTTCTCGTTGAAAGACAACAAGGCTCCAGGGCCAGATGCTTTTAATGCAGGTTTCTTCAAGAGGGCTTAGAGTATTGTGGGAAATGATGTTCTATGTGCCATCAAGTCCTTCTTTGACTCGGGGCAGCTATTGAAGCAGGTTAATGCTACTACCATCACATTGGTTCCTAAGGTTCCAAGTCCTTCTCATGTAAAGGATTTTAGGCCTATCTCTTGTTGCAATACTATTTATAAATGTATTGCTAAGCTTATTGCCAATAGAGTTAAAATGGTGCTCCCAGACATTGTTGGACCTCATCAAACTACTTTTGTTAAAGGAAGGCATATTAGTGATAATATCCTTCTTTCCCAAGAGTTGTTGAGGAACTATCACCGCATAGGAGGATTATCTAGATGTGCTCTTAAAGTTGATCTCATGAAAGCATATGATTCTGTTCGTTGGGATTTTCTCGTTGCAATTTTAATGGTGGTTGGTTTTCCCGAAAGAGTTGTTAGGTGGATTACTGAGTGTGTCACTACCACTTGATTTTCGATTTCCATTAATGGGGAGCTGCATGGATTCTTTGCTGGTGGGCGAGATCTTAGACAAGGAGATCCTTTGTCACCCTGTTTATTTGTCTTGGTTATGGAGGTCTTTTCGGGGTTAATGGGGTTGATGGTTGCTGAACATGACTTTAAATACAATTGGAGATGTGAGAAGGAGAAGATCACCCACTTATGTTTTGCTGATGATCTTATGGTCTTTTGTAGAGCTGAGGCTGGTTCTGTCTTGCTCATTGGGGAATGCCTTAATCGATTCAAAGCTCTTTCTGAACTTCTTCCTAGTCCAGATAAGAGTAATTTATTTGCCAGTGGTGTTTCTACATATCTTAAGGATCAGTTGCTTGATGTTTTAGGGTATAAGGAGGGCGTGCTACCGGTACGTTATCTTGGTGTTCCGCTAATCTCTAGCAAATTGAGGGCTTTGGACTGTAAGATGCTGGTGGAACGTATTATAGCTAGGGCTAAGAGTTGGACCTGTCGAACGCTCTCCTATGCAGGGAGGCAACAATTTATTAAGTCAGTGTTATTTTCTATTCAGGTCTACTGGTCCTCTGTATTCCTTTTACCTAAGGCTGTGATCAAGCAAGTGGAAAATTCACTACGGGCCTTCTTGTGGAAGGCTAGTGACCTTGGCACCAGTGGGGCTAAAGTGGCTTGGGCAAAAATCTGTATGCCCAAGGAGGAGGGTGGTTTAGGTCTGCGGGGATTGGAGATTTGGAATATGGCTGCCATGTTAAAGCATCTTTGGTCCCTTTGTACAGATTCTACCTCCTCTCTTTGGGTTTCGTGGACACGATATTATTTACTTGGAGGACGGAGCATTTGGGAATTGAAGTGTCCTGGGGATTGCTCTTGGAGTTGGAGGAAAATTCTTGGACTCCGAGATATAGGGAGGGACAAAATGAAATTCAGAATTGGGAATGGTAGACGTGTCTTGCTTTGGTATGATAATTGGCATCCTCTTGGCCCTTTAGAGAATTTTCTTGGAGAGAGGATCATTTGTGAATCTAGATTGAGTAGACAAGCTAAGGTGGCTGATATTGTTGAGTGTGATACTTGGAAATGGCCATCAGTTCGCTCCCCAGCTTTGTCTGATTTGATGCGAGATACACTTGATACTTTTCAGCCACACAGTAATAGAGAGGATGTATTACGATGGGAGGATGATGCACATTGAGTCTTCTCTGTTCGGAGTGCTTGGGAGTCTCTTCGACTTCGTTGCCCTAGGGTGACTTGGTATCACATTGTATGGTTCCCTAAATGTATTCCAAGACATGTATTTATCCTTTGGCTAGCAATTCAAGGTGGCATTTATACACAGTCAAAGCTTCTTCATTTTGGTTTGGTACAGTCTATGAGTTGTGTATTGTGTGGTTATTTGATGGAGGATTTGGATCATCTTTTCTTTACTTGTCCATTTTCGGAGCGTGTTTGGCATGCTTTGCATGCGAAATGTAACTTACCTTGGATTCAACGGAGTTGGACAGGTACTCTTTCATGGATGGAGCAGCTTAGTGGGAGATCAATGCATTCCATCGTTATTCAGTTGATGTTTGCGGCTTCAGTTTATGCTATTTGGCGTGAGTGTAATGCTAGGACCCCTGGTGAGGCTCCTAAACACGAGCCTACCATTATTCGAGACATTGTTTTTTCTATTAGTGCACGTGTTAATTTATGTAAGGGCTTGGTTCCATCTAATGAGAATAGATGGCTCCAACGTTCATGGGGTTTTTCTGCGGATATTTTTTGTTGTCGTGGTTAGGTTATGAGCATTTATCTAAGCTTATGTTATTGGTGTTAGGAAGACATATGTTCTTAGCCTAGTTTTTCTGGGGTATGCCCTTGTGATTTTGTAATTAATCTTTTCATTTTGGATATAATACACTTACTTTATCCAAAAAAAAGAGTAAGATGTCAACTTACTACGTTCTACGCCAGGACGAAGGACCAAGCAAGTACAAATAAAAACTTTCAATGAGGAGTAATTAAGAGCCCAAATAATGTTTCAAATGATGAGAAGCTTGAAGTATGAGAATATGAAATCTTATTAATAAGAGAAACAACAGCGAGAACTGCTTCCCCTCAAAATTCACTGAGAACTTTAGCAGATAAGAGAAGGGAACGAGCAATTTTTACAATGTATTTATACTTTCATTCAGCAACACCATTTTGTTATAGGGTGTTAGTACACGAGATTTGATGAATTGTGCCATCAAGAGCAAGCAATTCAAAGAAATATGTAGATGTATATTCTCCATCCAAATCTATCTAAAGCACTTAATCATAGCAGAATATTGAGTTTTAGTAAGTGCTCTAAAACAACGATAAAATAGAGAGAAATTCACAACATTGTTTCATAAGATAAACCCAACAATAATGACTATAATCATCGATGAATGACACATAATATCAAACCAAATTTGTAGTAATAAGAGTAGGCCCCCATACATTAGAATGAACAAGATCAAATGATACAACCGAACGAAAAATACTTAGAGGAAAAGGTAAAGCAAAATTTATTGCTAATTTGCAACCACTACAATTAGAAATATGTGAATTTATAAATCTCTCAATTAATCCTTAGAGACTAAAAATTTCAAATGACTAGCGGAAACATATCTAAGGCGAGAATGCCACAAATATTAGAAGAAGATGAATTCAATGAAAAAGATGACAAATCAACACTGGATGCTGCAATATGTGGTGGTTTCAGATTGTCCAAAACATATAACCCTCATTGTTTATACCCTATCCGAATCAACTTCTGAGAATGAAAATCCTGCACATGATAAGCAGTATAAGAAAACTATGTATCCAAAATCATATAATTGGCTAATAGAAATAAGATTTACAGTAAGAGTTGAAACACAATAGACATCTGAAAGTGATAAATTATGTGTGTTGACAAAGCCAAACCTGCTAAGGGCAATGGGGTGCCATCAACAATCATAATAGACATAGACGAGTTAGAAGGGCGCAAGTCATTAAAGAAATTTGAGTTAGATGATATGTGTTTGGAAGCACATGAGTTAAAGAATCATGAGGAAGAAATACTTGAGGAATTATGGGATGACAAACCTATGTGAGTAGAGGTTGACATAGCATGTCGCTGTGTGATTAAGAACTTCTAAAACTACTCTATTAGATCAATCACTATGGGATTGGAGGAAGGTGGTGCTCCAAGTATAGATGAGTTACTAGGTGGCATGGAGGCAACTATGTTAACATTGGATAATAGAATTGTTGTTGCGCTTATTGCTTCTTCAATAGTTTAGGACACTGAGACTTTCAATGTCCTTTTTGTTTTTAAAAGTCACACTTATCACTAACAACTCTTATATAACCTTTGTTCTGAGTCTATGTATACGATCGAGAAGATACAATCAATACTGAGGTGTTACATGGAGGAAAAGATACTTCTCCTGTAAGAGTTTTCAAACGTGTTTCCTCAGCCACAAGTTCACTAACCATCGAATCAACTGAATGAAGTGGAGTGCAATGCAAGATAAAGGCTCCGAGTCCCTCAAAATCATTGCGAAGTGTATTAAAAACAAAACTAATCACTACTTCTCTCTAAAAGTAATATGTTCCTCACATGCTTTTAGTCCTATTGATTCTGTAGGAACCATCTCATCCCAAATCAAATTCATAACAGTGTAAAACTCGAGATTACTCATATTCTTATGTTGTAAAGCCCGTATATCAATCTCCAACTGATATCGCTTTGTAAAGTTAGATTTAGTATATAGCTTCTAAAAGTGATCCCAAACTTCTTTTGCAGATTCAAATTTTGTGTTTGTAGAAAATTCGTAAGTGTACAGGATTGTTGTATAAGTAATAAGATTTGTGAGTTAAGAGTATCGTTCCAACGAGGAATAAGGTCTAATATCTAGTTCAATAGCTTTTATTAAAATCGAAGTAATATAAAATCAAAAGAATTGTTTGGTATGTTTTCTATACTAATCATAAATTAACAAATCAGTTAAACTATTTATCTAATATGTGAATGTTTGTATTGGAATCACGAATCCCTCTATTGTCATTTAATTCAATTCTTAAACCGTAATATAGTAAATTGTTGCATTCAAGACAATCGATAATCCATTTTTATTCAATATTCTTTTCAAGATATATTAAACATATGTTCAACACGACTCGATCCTATTCCTATTCCAAATTCATATGAAAAATATACATTGATTCACATGATTTATCCCACATGATTGCATATGTCATAGATATTATTCCTAATACTTATTGCTCATGTATTGATTTTGTCGCGTTTTAGACTTATTGTGAGTATTCCTACACTATAATAAGCAACATACTACCAATTGGTGATTAAGCAATCAAATAGTTCAATGAAAATGCAAAACCAATCAAGAAAAATCCTAAAATACTAAATTAATTGTCCTGAATTAAAGTAAACAAGTAATAGAGTTCATCATTCATCCAATACAATGAAAAATTCAGCCTAATATCCTATTAATTAAATTACATAAGAATAATTAGAAAAATATCACTCGG